GCATAAAGCTTTTCTTCTCTAAGTTTTAGTAAAATTGTCTTGACATGCAAAATATGATCATTCAAGCTTTTTGAGTAAACAAGAATATCATCAAAGTATACAACAACAAATTTTCCAATGTATTCTCTCAAAACATGATTCATTAGCCTCATAAAAGTACTTGGTGCATTAGTAAGGCCAAATGGCATAACAAGCCATTCATACTACCCAAACTTTGTTTTGAAAGCTGTTTTCCACTCATCTCTCACATGCATTCGAATTTGATGGTAACCACTTTTAAGATATATTTTTGAAAATAGATTAGCACCATGTAATTCATCTAACATGTCATCCAATCTAGGAATAGGATGTCGATAATTTACCGTGATTTTGTTGATGTCTCGACAATCAACACACATCCTCCATGTGCCATCTTTCTTGGGTACTAAAATTACCGGAACCGAGCAAGGACTCATACTTTCTCTAACATAACCTTTCTCCATGAGTTCTTCCACTTGCCTTTGAAACTCCTTGGTTTCGGTGGGATTGGTCCTATAGGCAGCTATGTTTGGGAGAGTTACACTGGGTATAAAGTAAATTTGATGTTCAATCCCTCTAACAGGAGGTAAACCCGTAGGTGCATCTTCATGGGGAAACATGTCATTAAATTCCTGCAAAAGAGACTTAAATGCACTTGGCAAAACATCATGAGATTTTGGTTCAATTGCTAAACACATAGCTTTGCACATAAGCACAAAATGTGGCTCTTGGGTTAACAACACATTTCTCAATTCACTCTTTCTTACAAAAAACTCACATTCTTTCTTTTCAACTCATATTTTTTTTTTCTTCTTGGTTTTTACTCTCATTTTGCCTTTCAATCTTCTCTTTTTTTTTCACTAGTCTCACTTTTGCTCTCTTCTCTCCTCTTTTTTTTCTTCAAATTATTTTCTTTTCTTCTCTAATTTAATGTGGTCACATTGTACTTCAAATGGAGACAACGGAAGTAAAGTAAATTTCTTTCCGTTCAAAGTAAAACTATACTTGTTCAACAGCCCATCATATGTGACCTCTCTATCATATTGCCATGGTCGGCCCAACAGTATATCCCCCGCATGCATAGGGACAACATCGGACAACATCACAAAGGACTTCATCTTTGTATCTTCCCAATGTAAAAGGAATAAGAGCTTGGGAGTTTACCTTTAGTTCTCCTTTGTTTGTCAACCATTGAAGTTTGTATTGTTTTGGATGTGGACGTGTAGCAAGTTGAAGTCTCTTAACAAGAAAACTACTTACCACATTTGTGCAACTTCCACTATCAATCACCAAGCTACACGGATTTYCTTCAATTAAGCATCTTGTGTGAAACAAGTTTTCCCTTTGATCTTCAACTTTCTCTTCCTTGATTTGTACACTAAGTACCCTTCTTGTTATCAAGGATATGAAGTTACCTTCTTCAATATACTCTTCATCACGTTCTTCAAATTMTTCATCATGTTCCTCACAATCATCATCCGAGTCAACTACGCCATTTCTTATCACCATAACTCTTTTATTGACACAATCTTTACTCATGTGTCCAAACCCTTTGCACTTCCAACATTGAATAGAACTAGTGTTTTCCCTTACCTCCTTTGGAGCTTCATTCTTTTTAGTATTGGAACTTTCTCCCTCCATTCTTTTGGCAGCTACGAACTTTCCTTTTGGTTGCATTGATTCATTCCTATTCACAAAACCAGCCTTCTTCCAAGCATTAGAATTGGAATATGTATTAGCTTTATATGTGTACCTTTTTGAATACTCCTTTTCTTCCTTCGATTGATCTTCAATTTTGACAGCATAATGGTACATATCTTCTAGGTAAGAAGGTGGATTTCTATCAACAGCATGAGCAATTTCTCGATTCAAACCTCCAAGGAATCTAGACATGGTGTCTTCCTCTTCTTCTCGGATTTGGGTTTTTTAGCATTAAGGTCTCCATCTCTTGATAATACTCAGCAACATTTTTCGTTCGCTGCCTCAAAGCTTGCAGTTTAGTTTTCAAACCTCTTTCATAGTGTTTTGGAACGTACCTCCTTCTCATGGCTTCTTTGAGTTCTTCCCAAGTGTCTAATGGATCCTCCTCCTTCCTTCTTCTTTCTAATTTGAGATTTTGATACCATTCACCGGCAYGATTGGTGAATTCAGCAATGGCGAGTCTCATCTTCGTATTYTCACTATATGTATAGCAATCAAACACATGTTMTATCTTCCTTTCCCATTGSAAGTAAGCATCRGGGTCCGCCGTTCCACTAAAGGGTGGAATTTTGAGTTTAACTCCGCCATCCCTATTTTCATTTAATCYTTCCAATCTTCTAGGTTGCATRATGTTGGCAAAGTTATTTCGTCCTCTTCCTCTCCCATTTCTTCTTCCTCCAACTTGTCTTTCTTGTTCAGCAAGGTCAAACGCATCATCTTCTTGTAAGGCTCGTTCTTCTCTTTGTTGTTGCGCTCTCCTTTCTTGTCTATCTTCCATCATCATTTCCATCATTCCTTGAATTGCTTGAAGAATCACCGTGTTAGGATCTTGCGGTACTTGTGGTACTCCATCCTGTGCCATTTTGTTAGAAACGATAATAATGATAATAAGGACCTTACCACTCTTCTCACCAAGATTTCACTCAAGGACACTCGTGTTTGTCACTCAAGGGTAGGCTTTTGGTACTAGGTCAAAGATGTAACGGTTGGCTTAAATTTTGGTGCAATCTTGCTTAAAGCTTGATATAACTAATTCAATGATCAACTCTTACAAACTAAGGCTACGACAACTCAATCTTAGGATAAACAACTTGATAATTTAAATAAAACACAACATAATGAAAAGAACTTTTCGTGCACCTCGGATCTTCGAATGCTTTTTTTT